ATCCGATTTTACTGTTTACAAAACCGAGGGAGCGGGGTGTCGCTCATGGCGAAAGCCGCCATGAGAGCCCACGCGCCGGCGCTGTACTCGCTCGCCGTGATTCAGTTTAACGGCAGCGGCTACTCCAAGAATGATAAGGACCTGCGCGCTGGCGTGGCTCTCTGCGCTCGAGCCGCTTCCCTCGGCCACGTCGACGGGCTTCGCGAGCTCGGCCATTGCCTCCAGGACGGTTACGGAGTCAAGCAGAACGTCACCGAGGGACGCCGCTTGCTTGTCCAGGCCAACGCGCGGGAGCTCGCGTCCGTTCTACGCTCCTCCGCGGCGTGGCGGTCCCACCATTACCAGCACTTCTACGCCTGCCTGACGGGTCTGGTCAGCTGCCCGCTGCTGAGCGACTTCGGGTGCAACGTCCCGCCTCCGGAGCTCCACCCGGCGAACCGGTTTATGAGGGAGTGGTTCGGGTCGGGGCGGTGGATGGCGGGGCAGGGAATGAGGCTGTGCTCGCACGTGGGGTGCGGGCGGCCCGAGACGAGGCCGCACGAGTTTAGGAGGTGCTCGGTTTGCGGGACGGTGAATTATTGCTCGCGTGGGTGTCAAGCGCTGGATTGGAAGCTGCGACACAAAGTCAAGTGTAAGCCGATCGAACGGCGGCTGGCGGTTGACGGTGAGGCAGTGGAGGAGTTGGGGGGACTGGTGGAGGGTGAAGAAGGTGACAATGTGGCCGTTGGTTAATGAATTGATATAATGGAAAAGAAAAATATGCGTTTTTATTTTATATGTTTTTTGTTGTTGGTTAAAAATAAAAATAAAAATTACAGATGTATATTGTGTCATATATAGAAAGGGGTTAAATAGTATTCTGTATTGGACTTGTTTTTTTTTCTTTTTCCAATTTATAATTGGGGAAGGGAAAAGTTTGGCTAAGGCACACAATAAACAACCTAATTTGGTATCGAATTCACTATTTACGATATTCGAACCTAAGATCTCTTGTACTTCTTACTTACAAGTAAAAAAAAATATAATACTGAGTGGCTATATTGGACTTGATAATAATAGGTTAACCCCACAAAAACAGACACAAATCATCTTCGGATTTGAGCCTAGGGATCAATACATCCGGACCATTGAAATTTGATTTAACGGCTACAAACATATAACTCCTCTAAAAGTTATAATAATTGTAGCCGTTAAATCAAATTTCAATGGTTTGAATCTATTGATCCCTAGACTCAAATCTGGAGAGGATCTGTGTCCCAACAAAACATGCATGCAAAACGCAAGGAATATGGAGTTGGAGTTGTTCTATTCTATATGTTGTATTAGTGTGATGGTGTATAATTAGACGTAATAGGATTTGATTAAGTTGTGGTGACTTTTGTTAATTTATGCTAGAGAGTATATTTTTTAACACATAAGGAATCATGTGATGTTACATATTACAAACCACCGTTATCATGTGTTTATTAATACGTAAGGAATCGGAATATTGTACTTAATATAAATAAAAATTTTGTTTTTTGGATAACAAATTAAAATTTTATTTGGTAAATACTTTTAGTTTTTAATAAAATAAAAACTGCAAAACCAAAAAATGAAATTCAAAGCCAAATTCTAGAAAAAAATTTGTACAGGGCTTGGTTTGCCACTAGATTTCGTTAAGTGACACTACAATTCACTCAAAACTCGTCACGTGGCAAGTCAAATATAATCTATTACCATTTTTTTATACTAAAAATTTTCATAATTATTTTTTTACTAATTAATTTATATTTAATCTAATATTTCCGTTTTTTTCTTCTTTCCTCCTATTTTTTTTCTTCCCAAATTCCCCTCCAGTTTGTTTTGCCTTAGGTCTTCAGTGCTCTCTCCCACTTCTTTCTCTTCCAGTTTTGTTTCTTGCTTTCCTTACAAAAAAAAAAAAAAAAAAAAAAATTCAACATCCACTCCAATTTTATCATGGAAAGCAATCAAGAATCTGTAAATTTCCTTTCGTTCTTTATACAATAGTTACTTTCATCATATGAACTTGACATGAATAATCCACATATATAGGCGTATAAAGGTTTTTTTTTCTCTTAATTATATTTGGTAGAGATGTACTTTCTTGAAAATAGAAAGCTACTAGGATCAAAATAAAGTGAAAGATAACAAATAGGTTATGAAAAAATTAACTCGATAATATGGAGTGTGCACTTTGGTATTTATAGAGATGAGAGAAACAGTGCAGGAAAGTATTTGGAGAGAGGAGGGGGAAAGAAAGCAAAGAAATTTTCTGAAGAAAAAAGTAGGGGTGGGTTCAAAAAACCGAAAACCGAAAAAAACCTAAAACCGAACTGAACCGAAATCGAAAAAACCGAAGAGAACGAACAAACCGAACCAAACCAAATTAATTAAATTACCTTTTTATTTAATTATTTGTTTTGGGTATTATTTTCTAAATCCAATTTATAAGTTAAAATGTGCTAAACCCAATGTGTTGCCAAACTTTAAGCTCAAAATATTAAAAAAAATGCCTATAAAAACTCTAAACCCTAACCTATTATTTCTCCCCCATATAAGGTTCTAGAACCAAACCTCCTCCTAAAGTACCTACATCCATCTCCATAACACTGTCTACTTCTGCCACAACTTTCTTTTCCAAATCTACTCTCATATAACATGTAACAGAATCCATAAACATTTATTTCGGGTAGATTATTTGCGTAATTTGTGATGGAAAATAATCAAACACACACTAAATAAATCCACCCACGCATTACTTTTACTAATCAAGTTGTCGACATGCAGTTACTAGCATACAACCCTGATATTTGAACAACATCATACAATTTAACTTTTCTAAGTCATTTGTACAATTTTGGTGTTGTGGGGTTGTTAGTTTGGACTTTGGAAGATTTGATTGATGATTTTAGTTCAACTTTAAATGTTTATTTTCATTGTCTTTGATTCTAGTTAGAATGCTTATGTTATGATTGTATTGGAGAGTTAAAATTTAAAATTTCAATGTTTTTCATTTTTTGAAGAAAAAAAAAAAACCGAAACTGAACCGGACAAACCGAACTGAAAAAAACCGAAAAAAATGAACCGAACCAAACCGAAATTTCGGTTTGATTTCGATTTTGGCAAAAAACCGAACCGATTTGAACCGAACCCACCCCTAAAAAAAGTGCAGAACTTCATAAAAAACATGAACCACAACTGGGAGAGAGAAAGAAGTGGGAGAGACAATGAAGAGAACGACAAAACAAAGTGGAGGGAAGTTTGGGAAGAAAAAAAAAAGGGAAAGTAGGAAAAAAAAGAGGAAAGAAAAAAATGGAAACATTAGGTTGATATATATAATATATTAATTAGTGAAAAATAATTATGAGAATTTTAAATAAAAAGAATGATAAGAGATTATATTTAAGACTTGTCATGTAGGGAGTTTTGAGTGGATTGTAGTGTCACTTAGCGAAGTTCAATGACAAGTCAAGCTCTACACAAGTTTTTCTCATCCGAAACTATTTTCCTTTTTTTGGTTTTTGAAGTGAAAACAAAAAGTGAAAAATGAAAAGGAAATGGTCATAGGTTACTGATTTTTAGTCATGTTTTATTGGCCAACCCTGGTAATAATACAACAACTTAACTTGGCTGCTGAATTACGAAATGGTCAAAGGTTACTGATTTTTAGTCATGTTTTACTGGCCAAACTTGGTAATAATACAACAATTTAACTTGGCTGTTGAACAATTCAGCATCAACAGCCACTTCTGCTTATACCTAATCCCGTGTGAACACATGTCCAAGTTTTGATTTTTTTAATCAAATGTCAAGGTGGTGAAGTTTCATTAGTTGGAAATGGTTGAACAAAATTAACCATATTCTTCCCAGGAATCATACTTTGAAATTTTGTTTAGTTGACAAAATTAAGCTTTTGTTTTTTCAATTTCATTTTCATCGTAGGCCAGCCAACCAATAAGAGGTATCTAGTGACGAGAGATTTTTCAGTGCGATCGTCATACAATGTGGTATACCACTTATCCTGATATAAATAGTGAGATATGTGTGTCAAAAAGTTAATAACTTAAAAATATGTGATGTACCACCCGCGTTCCTGTTACAATTAAAATTTTCTCATCCAGCGACTCTTCAACTTAAATTGCATTAGTCAAACTTAACTGGGTGCTCACAAAACAAACAGATTTAGACCAACTTATTTTTTGGTTTGATTTTTTGGTCCAGAAAACTAAATTTGCACGGACAAAATGATCTGACGGATTGACGTGCGCCAAAAAATTTAGACTTGGATTATCTCTTCTCCAGTCTTCTTCTTTGAATCTAGACCCTTTAAATAAAAAAAAAAAACTAATGAAAATGATTTGAAAACTTTGAGTTTTAACTGTAAGAACAAAATAAAAGATAAAGTAAATAGTACTATATTTAACTTTTTAGTGTAAAAATATGGTTTTTCGTTAAAGTGAACAGTATCACGGGCTTTTCGTAAGAAGTTAAAACAAAAAGTTAGCGGTACTATTTACTTTAATGAAAAATCATATTTTAACACTAAAAAATCAAACATGGTACTATTCATTTTTACCCTTTATTTTGTCCTTATCGTTAAAACTCAAAGTTTTCAAATCTTTTTCATTAATTTTTCTTTAAATAAAATCTAATAGTTGGGAGTTGATTTACATGTTTAATGAGCCTTATTTTGTTAATTTTATTGATTTTTTTTGGTCAGAAATTTTATTACTTTTGTTCAATAAAATAAATAAGAATAAGGCTCACTGAATATGTGGCTTAATTCCAAACCGTGAGAAACAAACTTTCCATGCACATTACGGTCAACAAATTTGGGAAAGAGTTCTAACCATCAGCTTCTTTTTTTCTTATTATTTTTTACACATTTGCTCATGATCAACCAAAAAAAAAAAAAAAAAAAAAAAAAGGGAAAATGGACTGATCATAAACTACATGATCAAGAGTAGTACATCAAAGATAACGACGGTAACGATGTAAGTAAAAAACACCGATAAATAGACTTATCAAACTCATTTCATGTTACAAGCAACAAGATTCAATCATAGACACCGATAAATAAAGACTTATCAAAATCATTTCATGTTACATGTAGCGGGGTTCAACCATAGACACCGACAAATAGAGACTTATCAAGCTCGGTGGGGTTTTCTAGTGTTGTAGATAATAATCTTCTTGTTGATTCCCTTCTAATCCGTCCTAAAACGACATGAATGGTTTTCCATATCTTCCAAATTTGTCGGGCAGAAATATTGAAATCGGAAGATTGAAAAATCACTTCCGTACAATCACAATAGGTTGTTAGCGTCTCGTGAGTTCATATGATTCGGTATTTTCTCTTCCATGGTTCAGAACTTACAACAGACCCAAGTACAGAATTGAATACAAACATTGTGCCTACAAGTGAGTCATGATTCAAGAGACAACAACCAAATACTAGATGCTTACACTCGAGAGGGGAAAAGGTGACGCCGAGCATGAAGGTCCGCTTACCGGTTTATGGTAACGAACGATACAAAATCTAGGGCTCCTCAAACTTGACTAAAATTTGGTTCAGGTATGGTTGATGTTTCCTGACCTGCAATTGAGACGTAAAAACACAGATATCAGTTAAGTTTCCGGCTCCTGTGTTATGGATAAAGGATCTGCAGGCACTGGCTGATCCATTAAGGGGCAAGGGGGGTCAGCTGACCCCCCGAACTTCGATGAACGTCCATAGACACCTTAAGTGCTGACCCTCCGAACTTCGGTGAATATCCATGGATACCTTGAGTGTTGCCCTTTTGAAGATTAGAGTTGGCTTCATACTTGCCCTCCAACCGACTTCAGGCCTACCAAAACCTGATGAATGTCCATGAATACCTTGGGTGCTGCCCCTTGCTTACATTAACATGTCTGTAGTATGCATTTTCAAATAACTTCAAGCCTACCAAGACTCGATGAAATGACAATATGCATGCTATTTCTAGAATAAAAAAATTTTCACGTTGCGCACACTATTCTTACTGACCCCCCTAATATTATTTCCTGGATCCGCCACTGTCTGCAGGTTGACTCAATTGGATAACGCTCTAGAGGTTCACACAAGCAACCTCGACTCATTAGCGTTTTAAAGGGAAAAATTAGCGAAACTATTAGGGACTGCTCATCAAAACAAGGAAACGTCAAGCTGAAGAGATTAAAAGCCTAACGTATTAAAAGCCTAACGTTCTAATTTCAAAAGCATATGCAAAATCAAAATGAATTTAATAGAACAGTTCAAGATGTGAATGAGACGCATACTTTCACACCAGCCAATGATAGTAGTTTATGGGAAGCAATGTAGGCAACTTCTGGATTGTTTAACCTCTTTTCCACAAAATATATAACTTCGGCGACTCCTGACTGCAAATAAGAAGCAATTGGCAGGAAAAACAAACTGGTTAGACACTGGCAACGTACCACATTGAACGTGCAAATGCTCAGGTTCTTGAAATTTTAAGGCAATAAAACTAGATTACCATCTCTTTATATGCTCATTACCAGAGTTTTAGCGGATTGGAGAGGGACTAGGAAGGGAGGGGAAGGCGGGAGGTGGGAATGACATAAGCATGGTTATTTCAGATATACAGAAAAATACAAGCACAAGGAAAGCATAGGAAGAACCTGAATGATTATCTTGGCACACTCATTGCAGGGGAACATGGTCACATAAAGCCTCTGCAAAGAAATAGAGAATAAGCATTCACACAGTACTTTCAGTCACAGAGGGCAACGAAACAGAATAACCACAAAATGGAAAAGAAGGAAATATAGTCAACCATCATTTAAACTTAAGCACATTTTACAACTTGAGTTTCTACCAAACATATCCAAGTAAAAGTCCCTCAGGGTCATCATTTCGTCAAGTTGGTCGAGGACAACATTTTAGTTCGAATCCACATTATAATACTAGGTCAGCAGATGGAGATTATATATTCGTAGTTAATGGGAATGGGTAAGTGTAACTAGAAGTAACCTGTCCTGCAGCAGAAGCATGATTCGTGTTTAGGATAGCATTGACTTCAGCATGACAAACATAACTGCAAAACGAAATCAGAAATACTAAGAGAAATAACCAGAGATTTGAAACCAGTATACAATGAAAGCGCAAGCGTTGGATATGATGTGATAGCGGTGGGATGATAAATTTGACTAGTGCAATGGAAATAAAACAGATATTAGATTCCAACTTCAGAATAAGTTCAGAGTAAACAGCAGACCACGAGTCAGAAAATTAATATAAGAAAGCACAAACACTTACGGATACTTTGTCTCCAAAGGATCCCCAGTTCTGGATTTCTGAACAAGAAAGGACAGCTTTACCAATTACTACTGAGTACTGACCATAGCATCATATAATCATTCTTTTTTCTTTGTACAATTTCATCAAATAGCGTAGACAAACCTTTGCCCAAGGAAGCTTGTCATCCGAACAACCTCTCGGGAACCCATTATATCCAATTCCTGAAAAGAGAGAAATTGGCTGGAAGTCAAAGGAAACTACATTCGCGAAAGTTCAATGATCGTAAAAATCATAATCAATGGACAACAAGAGCCATACAATCACTGAACAATATACTACGATATAATTTATAATTCGACGTAATTTGGATGCAGAGGCCACGTCCACGAATCCCATACCTAGAATTACACCATTTTCACTCACCAAGCATGCTCCAACCTATACACCACAAATACAAAACATAGCCCCAATGACCAATCAATATATTGTCTAACTCACCAAGTTCTTATCAGACCACAAATCGAAGAAATGTGCAACACTCTCATTGCTAATTCTCAAATTAATTCCTCCTCATTTAATCACAAATTCATCAGCATGCATACATGAAAAAGCAGAGAAATATGACCTGCCTGTTAGGATCTTTGGATCTTTCAGCTGATAAAAATGCAATTGCCATGAAATAATCATCCCATGATAAATATCTGCGATCAAAACAAAAGAATACAGTTACAAATTAAAAACCCAACAATAATACGAGTGAAAATTAACCATTTTTGTAAAAATTTGTAACTAATTACTCATATATTTATTACTGCAATGGAGAAGTCTGACCAAAATCAAAGGGCTTTATGAAAAGTTGGAATTTTGGACACTAACCCTTCGCGCTTTGAGGGGTCGAAAGGGCTCTGAGAAGAGCATTTCCTGGAAACGACGCCGTTTTTCGACAAATCGAGTTTGGGGGACTGCCTCTTAGGGTTTGAAAAGAAGAAACGGCTAGTGAGCGCAGAGGCCAGGGCACCGAAAACGGCGGCGGTGGAGACCAGGGCGAGCTCGCGGGAGTTCATTGAATTGTAAAGGGAGAAACTTCCGCCGCACTGTCACTTCCCGAGAAAATTTCCAACTTCGAGTTATGGTGGTAGAAGAAATAGCGGGAAAATTAGGTGAAGAATTGGGGAAGAAACGGAAACGCGCGGCAAAAAGCGGGTGGTGAATATAGTAATAACAAAAGTTTGTATTCATTTACCAAAAAATAAAAAAAATTTGTATTCTTACAAGTCGTGGTGGAGAGAATTTTCAATGTCGGGAGCACGATCTGGTACACCAAGCTTCCCAATACAAGTGATTGAAAATTTATTTTCAAGTATCAAATCACTTGTCTTATGAAACTTAGTGTAACGGTTCGTGTTCCCGACACACAGAAAATCCTCTCGTCTTTGTCAATATGATGTAAATATGGCTTACACATTAGTCCATATAAGAATTTCGAACTCACGCGTCATCAATTTATTGTTGGATATTGCAAACTTCTTGGCTCATTTTGAAAATCATCCTAAACCGGAAGGTTGCATAGTTAAACCTAAAATAACATAAAAATGGGCAAAGAACAATAACCCACAACATAACATTGTTAAAATTGGCCCCCATCTTCGTTAGTTCAGGTCTTGTGTAATGATGGTCTCCCGTGTCCTCATTAGTTTAGATGTGGTGGTGTTTGGGGTGACACTTTTACTTGATTGAAGTGTCTGTTGGTTGTATCCCCATTCATTGCCTTGTTCTTGGTTGGTCTACCATGGTGTATGCCTCGTGGTAGGCTTTCTTATTCCTGTTTGGCTTCTTAGCCTTGAAATGTGACATCCTAGCTTTCAAAAAAAACAAAAATAATAATAAATAAAAAAAATAAACAAACAAAAAAATTTTAACGTGACATAAAGGTTTAAAACTATTTGTCGATTGATAGAAGATGGCGGATTTGAAAATTTGGAAGAACTCTAAACCCATAAATTAACTGAAAACTTTCGAATGAAAAAATTCTTAAAAAACAACAAGTCTCATAATTATTTTCTAAAAAAATCATTGCAATATGATCACTTAAACTACGAGTCTTTTGCAACCATTGTTGTTACTGCTCACATTTTAAAGGGTCACTCCCACTTTTGACTTGCCGTAGGATTGTCCTCCTAGCCACTATCTCCCTAGGAGTACTTTAGGGTTGAAATACATGATAAGAGGTGTAGGGATTAGGGTGGGGTGGGCACTCCAATGAACAAAACTTGATGAAGGTCTTAGTTGGAGGCCATGATAAATTAATCATTGTCCTAAAGTTTGAGTGACCTCCATCACTACCCCAAATGAGGTGGGATAATTTGGGCAGATCCAAAAGGATGACAAGTATAGATTAGGGGCACATACCCTTAGCAAAAGCCTTCCCCAACTCCCAAACTTTCACACGCACCTTGTCCACCCCAAAACCTACAACTTTCCCCTTTAATGCAAGCTTTCCACTCGATTTTGATGGCAGCATCTCAGAGACAAATGGATACCAATAACTAGACCTGGCATTTTGGATCCGACTCGTTAACCCGACCCGATCCGTTAATATTAGGATTTGCGTGGATGCTTAACGGGTCGGATCATTAACGGATGAACCCGTTAAATAACGGGTCACTTTGGGTAAATCCGTTAGCACCTGTTAACACTAGTTAATTGATGATGTTTTAGTAATTTCAGTAAAGTCTTAACAACAAAATATAAACTCTATGCAAAAAAAAAATTGTTAATGGATGAAACGGGTCGGGTTCGGATGACTCGTTAGTTTAACAAGTTGAGTTCAAGCGACTCGTTAACTTAACGGGTTGGGTTTAACCCGACCCGTTTACAGAGCTACCAATAACTTCAGTTATCGGTGGGACTTGTCATGTCCATGACCAAAAACTAAAAACCTTTTGATCTTCCATTTCTATACTTTGACATGCATGTCCTCCAATGCCGTGCAAGTGGTACATCTGTTTCTTGGCATGTACATATAGATATATTTCGCTTGTTCCAGCACCGAAGTTGATATGGCCGAGTTGGTCTAAGGCGCCAGATTAAGGTTCTGGTCCGAAAGGGCGTGGGTTCAAATCCCACTGTCAACATTTCTTTTTCCCTTTTTTTGCAGCATTCCTTTTCTGATAATATGCATTTCTTCTTTCCCTTTTTTTATTCACAACTTCTCTTGTTTCAACTTTCTAATAAGTAAACGTGTCATAATATTGAAGAAAATAACTCAAAAACCATAGCAGCCAACAAGTTACATAAATTTTATTTGCAAGATGTTCGTCTTTTACTAAACGACAAATTTTATTCAACGATCATATATTTAACGTTTTGTTATTGACGTATTATCCACATTATTATCAGCACCTTATCTAAATCATCAAGGAATAAAGAACACACCTCAAATCCAGAGAAGTAGAGAAAAGTAGTGGGTTCAACTGAATGCCCAACGTTTTTATAGTGAACCTCCCTATCACATGATGTTTGTTGAAGAGATGTCTCTTTGGCGGGACCCGTCTGATCCAATGAGAGATTTTTTTAATATGATCGGAACACGGAGTGGTAAATTATGTGTTATTATATAAATGGTGTGTTATGTATGTTAAAAAGTTAATAACTTAAAGAATATAATTTTTCACCACTAATATAAAAAAAACACGTGATGTACCTCATGTGTTTCAATTACAATGAATTTTTTTTCAACTGCTAGAGAAATTTTTAATTATGACGGGAACACAAGTGATATACCACGTGTTTTAATAGGAATGATGATAAATTTTATTTTTTAAGTTATTAACTTTTTAGCACATATATCTCACAATTTATATAATGACATGTGATGTATTATCCTGTGTACTAGTTACACTGAAAAATATCTCCAACCGCTCAAGTGGCAGGATCAGAGACCCAATCATGGTCCTCAGCCTCACGTGCCAATCTGCCTGAAGCGTGGAGCGGTTGAGATATAAAAGTGGGTCGCTTTTTTTAGGAAATGGATCATCTTCGGATCCCTTCCATTAAATCATCTTAATCAATCAATTTGAGTTTTTGAAATTTAATCAAACTGCTAAAAATATAGAGCTTTTTAAAAATTATAATAATTTTAATGGTTTGATTAAATTTTAAATATCTAGATTGAATGATCGAGAGAATTTGAAGGAAAAAAATCTGGAAATGATCATTTTTTCCTTTTTTGTACAAGAGGGCCGACAACAATGGGCCCACCAATAAAGCCTCTGAATCTACGTCCAAAAAACCAAACCGCACGTGCGACTGTAATTATTACGCGCCCTTTCATCATCCTCAGTCATCTCCCATAAATAAAAAAAATGAAAAAAAAAAAGAGGGTCAAAGAGATTAAATAGTGAGAAGAAAGAAGATAGAAGGGAAAAAAGGCAAATCATAACCCAATTACGTGATCCGTTATTTTTACTTGGGGGTTGGCTCTTCTGTAACGAACACTGGGATTCTCGTTGTTCTTAAATGGGAACGGTGTAGTGATATTTTTTATTTATTTATAAGTGAAATGTCATATATTCAATTATCGTCGAAGAAAAATTTGAATCACATTATTGTTAGTCCATTGTGAGACTTAACACATTCACTCATTTGTTCAAATAAAAAAATACAAAGGGATGTAAATGGTCATTATTGCATAAATTTATGCAGAGTAACATTCTCTTATCAGATATTGATTGGTCAAACAAAATGATCAGACGTGTGAGATTTGTTGACCAGAAAGCATTTCTTGGATATGTAAGATTGTTTGAACAAAAACATTTATCGAACTATATGTCAATGTTATAAATGTCGCATATAATTTTAAAATATAGCATGTGAGACAGTTTGACAAGAAAATATTTTTCAAATAATTGTATGTCAAATATCCTCAATCTTCACTAGCACTAATTATGCCTTGTTTGTAGGTGGCTTTCTACCACAGTGGTGGAGACGAGTGCTGTCTTTGCACCACGACGTGTGTTCAAATTTCGTTGGCTCCCTAATCTAACAAATCTATCGTTTGACAAAAAAAAAATTATGCATTCTTTGATTGATTAATCTCCCTTGAATGCTTAATATTGAAATAATATAATGTGAGACTGTTTTTTACAATAGATTGATTAATTTCTTGGACTACCATCTCTTGATTAGGTTTTTTTTTAACTTTCTAGATTACCTTTCTGAGTTCCATTATCCCTATTAATCCAGAAATTAACGTTAAACATGGGCATGATGGTAATTTGGGCTTGCTCTAGTTTTGTGTGTGTGTGTGTATATAGGGCACGCAACTTTTGGCATCTCACACAAACTGTTTTTGCATCAGTCATATCTGTAATAAAAACCCTTCATTTGCTTCTTTTTATTTCCAATGGAAGGAGATGATCAAAAGGAGTTGCAGCTCCTCCCTTCTCCTCACTGGATGACATCTCTGCCGTCGGATTCTTCCATAAGATATCGTCGATCAAAGTCAGCAGTGCAGGAAGGGCCTAATGATTCCCAGCTTGACCTACAATTATCAATCAGTGTAAGGCCAGCCAAACCTTCTTCCTCGGATTGTTATGTCTTCGACAATCCGAATACTTCCGAGTTTGATGTCTTGAAGCCCAAGGCAGCCAGTTGCATGGAGTCTTTGAAATGGCAGGCGGCGGAGCAAATCAGACTGGCGGCTACGGAGAAGGCGTACGCGGAGCGAGTGAGGGAGCTCGCAAGGAGAGAGATGGAGTTGGCTCAGTCGGAGTTTACGCGTGCCCGGCACATGTGGGAGAGAGCGAGAGAGGAAGTGGAGAAGGCCGAGAGAATGAAGGAGAAGGCAATGCTTCAGATGGACTCGACGTGCATGGAGATCACTTGCCAGTCGTGCCGGCAAAGGTTTAGGCCGTAAAAAAAAGAGACCATTTGGTTAGCGGATAAGAGACGGCAGACAGAGAGAAGAAGATCTTTGTGTTTATCTTTCTTGATCATACTTTTGAGTATTGGATTTTGTGGAATTTTTCTTTGGAGAAAACACAAAGAAAATAATTACAAATTGATGGATAGAATGAAAGTGTGAGACATGATGAGATTTGAACTATGTTCATTCGTGTGATGAATGTGTTATGTTTAATTTGTAAAATTTAGAGTAGAATCGGCCTATGCATGTGTTATGTATGTTTAATTTGTATTCCAACCGGGAACTGGAATGACACTTTTCTTTTGATACGAGGACTAATCCTCATCTCCTATTTCGCATCATCGAGCAACTCTGAAGATGGTATACACCAGAGAGGAAAGAATGCAAAACTCTAGTTACACGAACCAAACTCGATCACACTTGAAGTTTGATATGAGAACAATTCTCTCCTCCTATTTTGCACCCTCGAGTAACTCGAAGATGGTGTACACCAGAGAAAAAAAATATATAGCAAAATTCTGGTCACACAAACCTAATTGGATGAAGCTTAATTAAAGCACAATCTTTATATGCTGCATAATTCTGTCTGATAAATTTATTGGAATGATTGCGGAACTCGAATGAACTACGTGTTGTTTAATTATCTGGAGGCTACAAGATAATTTCAGAAAAATTACATATACAAATATGAATCTGGATCCAATATTTGTGCTTCTATAAATGCCAAGAAGCTTGACTTTTTAAGCTTCCATATCTGGCATGTTGACTCGGCCAACTGCAAACAAATTTACTCAGTTCATCAATCATTTTCTTAATTAAAGAGAATAATTTTAATTAAGCTAATTGCATTTGACTGACTGAACCATCATGACATTAGATTGGGCAAGATTGCATGGAATTCAGAGCAAATTTTAATTAAGCTAATTGCATTTGACTGACTGAACCATCATGACATTAGATTGGGCAAGATTGCATGGAATTCAGAGCAAAGAATAAGTGTCCTCTTTTATCATGACTTTGCAGTTTCTGAACATATACAACAAACTAGCCTGCTGGACTTGACGATATTTTAAAAATAATATTTTTAAAAGATAATATTTTAACTTAACTACCACAAAGCGATATTTTAAACCATAATTAAGAAAGAAAACTCAAATTTAGGTGCAAAGAGACGAGCACATAATTTGACGATATTTTTAAGTCGCAAGCAAAATCACAAACTAACAATCTTAGTTTAATTTAATGGTACATCTCTTCATAATGTTCGAAGAGTTTCAAGATCGAACCCCTCTCCCGTTGATCTAAAGATGAAGTTGCAACAAAACCCTAACTCCGAGATTTTTTATTTTATGTACAAATCAAAATTAGTTAACCACGACTGAAATTTGAAACCCAAGTGAAGTGAAGACAGGGAAAGATCGATCGGGCTGGGGAATTGTCAAACCTGACGTAAAGAGGGTCAAGTTTCAGAACCATGATGTCGATATGGAAAGGCAAATGAATCAGAACAAAAAGGGGCAAGTAATTTAGCAGCAACAAGACATCGTTGCTGTACATCCACTTGGATTCAACCTCTTCACTTTTGTTCATCAAATCATACACGCACTACCCATGTCTCCGATCCAACACAAAAAGAAAAGCATTTCTATTGGTCTAAGTCATGACTCCGCTGCAAAAGCTTCAATCACAGCACTGAAACATCGCTAGCGACCGAACACGGATCGACTCCTTACACGTAATGATTCATTTCAACGTAACTGTAGATCACAATCTGACTGACGCTGTACAACAATATCTCATTACAATGACAAAAAAGAAAAAATTTTGGCCGACATATCGATTTTTGAATGACTTGTTACATGTAAGGAGACAAGTATTTTCCCGAGCTAGCTAGCTTCGTTTGTCAGCAGCTTCTGCACAAATACAATCAATCAGCTAAGGATATATACATACACACACACATACACACACATAGACACACACACACACACACACACATATATATATGCATGGTTGCCTGCAGCTATAATGCAGTGACTTTGATTCTGGATGAGGTAATAAGAGCAAGAGCTAGACATAATTTATTGGGCACAATGAATCACAAACTCTCAAAAATTAGGTGCTTCTGAAAAGTGCAAGGAGGCATGGGAAGAAAGAAAATAAAGAGTAATCAAAGATTTGACTATTTATTTCAAGGCAGATCCTTTATTTGATTTTCAGAATCTTCCCGTCCCCAAGTGAAGAATCTAATCTGCGATTTGATAACACGTCTTTTTTGTTTTGTTTTGTTTTGTTTTAATAACGTAATATTCTAAACTATTTGAATTACAGAAAATTATCGTAACTCTAATATAAAAACAAAAAACCAAAAACTGAGCACACCGCTGTTAGCCAACTGCATAACGCAACCCTTTTTTTCACTTCTTGATAACTTGGGTTTACTGCTTAGGTCCCCAACTATTTACAGAGACAGAAATACCCACCACCCTTCACTTGTTCACTGTTGGTTCTTCGAAAAAGATGATTCCCTAAAACAGTCTTTTGGTCTGCAGATGTGAGCACTAGCCTAGTGGTTTCATTATCATTGCTGCTGTTATTTTAAGTGATTTTCCTTTTCTTTCTTTTTTTTTTCTATATTTGCTTATGTTAAAAGGATAAAAAACTTAACTAATATTCAAAAGAAAAATACTATTTAAACAATTGAATGTACTTGTACTATAGTAACCCAACAGTTGTTATCATGAGATGTTCACTGCTCAAAAGTTGGAAACCAATGATGGAAGTTCATGGCTCTTGAAAGTTCACAAAAACAAAATAAAGTTATTGTAGCTCAATTGGTTAAGAATATTCAAATATTGGACCCGATGATTTTATGTTCACCAAAAGAAGTTGAAGCTCTTCTTAAAAAATTAAGTGACAATAAGAGAAGTAGACCAATTATAAGCCTCCTTTACAAGTTTCCTTAACTTTCTGATATTGGGACAATTTTTTTCATATTTTCACACTAGCTTCACATGTAAGCGAACCTGCTATGACATAACGAAGAAAGTTGAGCTTCCGCTGCAAAATTGATTGGCATTTTGGGGGGTAGATTAACTCCCTATACGCCATTGTCAACTTTTCCGATGTGAACAAATCTTCAAATCCTTACATTCGACTCCTCTCTTTCTCAGTATCACTTATCTATAATTATAAAAAGTGCCTATTACTGGTGGAGCCTAATTGATTTAAACCTTAATGCTATATATAACAGGCAGTACTGACATATGACCACCCACGTTATGGGTGATGCCTTTGTCTTTGGATTTCTTGTCTGCAGAAATACCAAATACTAGCAAATACCAGGGCCATCGACTCTTTCAGAAAGTTGTAAGAGCAAGGGGATAAAATATGTAGGGCATCATGCTTGTTGAATCATCAAACATAACCCTACATTTGTCTTTTCATATTGTCCACTTATGATGTTCATTTGATGCTCTTATTTCTGTGCAGATTGATGTGTTAAATCATATATAACTCTACATCATATATAACTCTACATTTTACTTACTCTTATGATCTTATCCCATGAGTCATGGCTGTTATAGTACTGTAGTATCTACTCGCGCAACGACGATTGTCGATGAATGTAGATTTTGAGGAAAGGTTTAATTTAACACGCATCAACGGTTATCATTCACCTTCTACGCGCTCATACGCAACTGTTATTAGTATGATTCTAGTGTTACACATCGAGTGAGACGTTCTTGTTAGGACAAAGACTTTTGCAGCATTAAGTGAATCTAGATGAATTTCGAAACCAACCATTGTTTGTTCATGTGACACAAAATAATGTTGTAGATATTATCATAGAACCAAGTTTTGAAGTTTTGAAAAGCAGTCTAATTCTTGACATGTTGAAGACTTTTAGCTCATATTTTTTATTTTCAACATTTTAATGACTTGAGGAGAGTTCGAGCATTGCTCAAAATGCTCAAAGGTCTCAAGAGGAGTCCGTGCACTGCTCGAACTCCCACGAGTAGTAGTGCCTATACTTTTGTACCTATCTTTCAACATGTAACAAAATAGAGATAGAAATTAGGTAACTGAATTCCTAAAGATTGTTTGTTGTTGAGTCAACTCAAGTGACCAAATGAAGAAAAAAAGGGCACCTCACTTTTGAATTGGGAAAGTTCACATGATCATGAGTTCATGGTGGGACTCAAATTGTTGCAATCACACCATGTGAAAATGTGATTCACACCCCATCGCATCACTGGACTGTACCACTACCAATGTTTAAAATATTTGGATAGGTGGAAATCTCGCTATGCAAATTTATGAAAATATCGATTGTTTTCGATGAAAATTAAAATGAAACTTTAGGGTTATGAAACACTGGTTTGGACGAAATATAAGAGTTTTTTTGATATTTAACAGATTTTTTGGAAATATCGACGATTTCTGTTGATTTCAGCCTAAACATAAAAGTTTCTCCATCATACTTCACCCCTCATTTCCATATTTTTTTTAAAATTTTATTTTTAATATTTCTATGGAAATATTGAGTGTATTGAAGAAATTTTAAACATTAACTAGTACTAGATCATGGCGTCGTATGATTTGTTTGAAATACAATTATCTTGATGTTCTGGTTGTTTGAGAGTTTCTATCTCACAAAAGAAAACCTGTCTTGTAATTTTTTGAATTTTAACCACAGTAAGTGGCCCAGTGGTAAGGGCGCGGATTGCAGCTACTGAATAAACAAAAAAAAAAAAAATTGTAATGTCCGAGTTCGATGCTCCGAGCTAGCGAATCTGTCACGACTTTAGTAGGGTGTATTCAATCAAGAATTGGAGAGACTCTAATGAATTTATTTATAAATCCATGGATTTTTATGGAATTCAATTGATTTATAGAGATTCCATATAAAATTTTGATTCAATTTCCTTGAAATCTCATGGGAATATGTGAGATTTATAGATGCTTAAAATACACTACGAAATCTCTCCAATTCCCCAACTTTCTCAAATTTTTTAAAATTAATTTCTAATTGAATACACCTGGAATGTTATAAACTTTCTTAGAATTTTAATAAACTATCTTAAAATTATAATTGAATATACCTTAAATTTCAGATAATTACTTACGATCTTTATTGAATACCTAGATTTATTAAAAAAATTAAATCCCCAAAATTCCAATTGAATATAGTCCCGTAGAGGCGGTTAGCGACTGTTAAACGTTTGCCTCCAAATTCCGAACAAAACAGAGGGAGGAGAGGGACGATCTCATATCGAACCCTAACCCTAACCCTAAAACCGAATTGCAAGATGCAGGAGAAGAAGAAGAAGAAGTACGAGTTCGAGTACTGCGTGGTTTGCAAGCTGAATCACGACCAAGGTCCGAGCCACAAGTACATACCCAGCCACACCAAGTCCCTCTCCGCCTTCCTCACTCGCTTCCAAGCCAAGCTCTCCGATGTCCGCTTCTTTCTCAAAAACCCTATCCCTCTCCGCCCCGAACACGCCTCCCGCAACCGCCTCTGGTGCGTTTTCTGCGACTCCGACATCGACGAGCTCGATAGCTCCTTCGCCTGGTAAGATTTCTGTCCTCAATTTTTAATTAGCTGTTTAACTTCTGTTTGTTTGCCGACAAATCAACGAAAGTGGAAGAAAATTGGGAGAATTGTTGAGCAATTTGCATTGTTGGAAAGGAATTGAATTGTGCATTGTGATGTACATGACATTGGAGTTATGCTCTGTTTGTGATTTTGTAATTGTCAGTGGTAATGCAATTAATCACCTTGCGAACGTGGAACATCTGAAGAATTTGAAGCATTTCTTGTGGAAATACGGTGGAGGAATGGACCGTGTCGATACATTCAGAATTTCGGAAGATGAACTTGCTAAGGTATATGTATGCTTTCAGTTTCAATCATCAGTTATGTGATCTTCTGAGAAAAGATACTAGAATTGTGACTTCTAGTCAATTTTAGAGTCAAGTCATTAACGAGCGGTGATTATTTTGTGTGTCTGCAGTGGGAGAAGAAGTGTAATTCATTGAAGCTTGAAGCTGTGCCATGTGGTGAAGGATCTCAAGGACCGACATTTGGACCATCGAATGATATCCATACTGAACTGAAATACGGAATTATAGATACTTTTGAAAATAATAGTAGTTCAAGTTTTTCACATGGTGTTATGCCTTTACTATATCATACAAATGAGTATCAGGTATCCCATTCAGGACTCCCTCAAGTTACAAATGTTGGCTGCTTTTCGCAAGATGTTGCTACCTCTTCTTATCATGGGGGATCAAGTTCTGGTACAAATTCCATAAATTCAAACGCTTTATCCTATTTTTATGATGTTGATATCTTATTTAGTATCCATATGGTTTGTATTTAATATAAGTTCCTCCCGTATAATTATATGGCTTATGCATGCTTTATGCTCTCTGCTGTGTGCTTACTTCGTGACTCAGTTAGCAGGAGTAACCAACATTCTTTGGTTTCTAATGGTAGAAAATCCTCGGCTGATGGTTACTTCAGTAATGAAAGGGTAAGTTTGATCATCCACACTCTTCACTAAAAACATCTGTTTCTTGTGGTTGCATTTAAATAAACGGCTATAAAATTGGAAAACAAGTAATACTTTTGGTGTAGATGAGAGAGGGGTCTCAGCATGAAAGAATGACAAACGAGCAGAGCAGTTCTCCAGGTATCAACCTTTGATTTTTGATTTTTAATATGTTAGTATTCTCTCTGCTTCTGTTCAGCTGATCATCCTGGTGCACAATGTATGCATAATTTGAGCAATAAGCTGTCAATTCTTAGGAATTGTAGAAAAACTTATATACATCTGTCTGGAATCTTGGTGGCTTGGCTCAGGAGGTTGATATAGTTATCTTCTATTTGTTATAGCTGTGGATCCTTATTTAAAATTTCTCTACAGTTTTTCAGAATCTCACCCAAATATCGTCCATGGGTCCTAAAGAGGCTAGAGGAAATGTGCGCACTGGGGCACCTCCTCCTTGGCTTCAAGCAGATGAAGAAATTCAGTGTAGTGTTCCACTGAAACGAGTTTCAGGTAGCCTTGTTCCCCCGTCAAATAAATCGGGGAAGTCCAAGAAATTGAACCCAAACCGTGTGGGAGCAGCTTGGGCAGAAAGGAGAAAGAGGGAGATGGAGATGGAGAAAAGAGGGGAAATTGTCATGAGTGACTGCGATGCCAGTTGGCTCCCTAATTTTGGTAGAGTTTGGCAGTCCGGTAGCCGAAAAGAGTCCAGAAAAGAATTTGAGTTGGAGAAACAAAAATTACCCAAGGTTGAAAGTCAGTCGGATATGCCAATTAAGATACAGCCTTACATCAGCAAACGAATGGTGAGTTCCATGTTCCATCTTAGCATGTAAGTTTGTTGTCGAATTCAAGATTTTTAAAGCTATTTTTTTGCGTTTTAGTAGATTTTTCTTAGAAGTAACCCCATCCCCCATTTTGGCTGAGCATGTTGACTTCTTCACTTACAACCCGCTTTCCACCTCATGCTCACAAGGACAAGAGATGTATGACCTGACGCCAAACAAGAAGTTCCCACCATTTGATCTCCATAGGGATCAGTTTAGTGGCTTTTATTTCATTGCTTTGGATTATGGATTACTGAACTTATCACAGTCCAGACCATGCAGAGAACTGACGGGAGGCTTTCATTTTAGTGTTTTTGTTAGTAAAGTTCATAAAATTTAGGCAGACACAACACAATACACACTTGTCAAGAATTACCAATGCCTCAAGCACTTATTTTGTTTCCCTCTTCATGCAGAGAACTGATTCGAGTCAATAATTTTGCCATGATGGTTATCCAAGTTGACGATAGCTCCGATGACAGACACGGCGGGAGAACCAATGTGCATGTTCTCTACTTTTTTCCGCGAGTTTGTGGTGTAGGTCTCGTCAAATGGAGCTGGCAGTATGATGGCAGGCAGGTAGCAAACTGAAATTCAGCCGGAATTTGATTATTAGGCTACTGTACAAAATAGAGCTGTAAGTTCAAATGACTGGCACTCAAATGTATCCAACTTGAATTTTTTCCGATCAAATATATTCAATGAAACTTTTGCCTCAGATCTTATGCATGTTGCAAGTGAGAATGATATTTCTTCCGGTGACATCAATGTTTAGATCCATCTTTAATTAGTTCATGTTGAAACAGCATCATTAGTAGAATTGACATCGTTAGGCAATGGATATTAGATCCTGCAGGACCTGCACTGGAACTACAGATTTGCACACAGATCTTTACGTTTTGGCACGCCAGTCATAGACACACAGATTTGCACACAAATAGTGATTCTTATTTACAAAGAAAATAAAAATAATTGATTGAGATCTGTCTACTAGGAATAAAAAGAGCTCCTACTCTGTTTATGACTGCAATCTCACAAATTGAAATTGCTGTCTTTCTATCTTCGATGCCGAGCTGGTTCACGAAGAACTGCCTTGGTGTCCGATTTTCCTACATTTTACCATTGCTCTATTGGAGAAGCTCAATGATCAAAGGAGCTTGTTCTCTTTGTACTTCCACGGTTCCACCTCAGGGTGACAAAATAATGAATAAAGCTATTATATTACTCTATCGTAATCTCTTTGGCAGGGCAAAAAATTGTAGAATTTAATTGGCCTGTGATCCTAAAGTTCCATAATCTCCTTTTTGAAGAAACTAAGTTCTCATCACACAGAAACTCCCAGGAAAACCACTTCTCGATCATTCGATCTACGTCATGCACAACGACATGCGTAATGTTTGCATTTCTTGCTATCATACTAGCAGAATAGATTGATGACATCCTACCCGGTTCCTCTGGTGTGTTCCCGCTCGGTCCATCCACCACCACCACATCCCATTTAAGCTCGTAGACTTCTTGCGGTAGGTTTTTCAATGCAAGTTGACATTTTGATTGTTGAAGCAGTTTCGGTTTGCAATCTGGGTTTCCCCTTGCATGCTGGAGCAGCTTGTAAGCCTCTTTTGCAGGTATCTGGTAGTCCACCTTGTAAACTCTGGTTGTGTTGGAATTTGGTTTCAGTGTGCTTATCTTGTTTTGATCATCCTCTAGAAAGACGGTGGTGCCGCCTGTATTGATTGATGAGAGAGATACGTACTGAGGTTCAAGCCCGAATATGAGGAGGTTGCAGGGAGCTTTCTGCGAAATGAGATTCGACAGCAGTTGGTATTCCTTTTTCCTGAGGGCGGCGGTGTTGGCAGATGCGTTTGTTTCTGCCGGAAACTTGGTGCATATGAAAGGGAAAGAACATGTTTTTCCAAGAGTAGGAGGAGGAGGAGGAGAAGTAGTTACTGCAATTCTAACAAGTCTGAGCACCGAAACAATCGAAAGGATCAAAACAAGGAAAGGGATGAGTTTTGTTCTGGAAAAGTTCATGGCTTTAGATCCTCTTGATTGGTTGTGTCTATGAGCCTTGTTCTCTTGTTCTTGCGGTGAGACTGCGGAAGTGAACCGAACGAGAGGAGCCACGAAAGAGCAAAAATGAGGCACTTCGGGGGGCATTTTTTCGGGTTTCTCTTTGCTTTCAGCTCCTCCGCAGCCGCCATCACAACCTCTCCTTGTAGGGAGGTGTCTGGTGGTGGGGCATTTGATGGTTGAAGCTGTTAAGCTGAAAGACCACGTGGCGGCTGGCTGGCTGATTGAGTGAGGAACAAGGAAAGGTATTGCTTAGGTTTAAAGGGTTTATTTTCTTTTTAATTATTCAGGTGCTTGTTTGTTTGTTACATAATGCAACGTTGCGATTGCTAACTTGTTTAGTTTACCTCTGAAAAAGAATAACAACAATATCTACCAGTGAGTAGTTGCTGGCCAACTTTCAAGCTTCTAATCATATGGACTTTGTCCACCTTTTGTTAGTTACCATAATATGACTCATGATTTGCTCTGAAAAGTTTCGGGAAGCGATTTCCACACGTCTTTTTTCTCCCCTATACACTCAAAGAAAGATCCAAGTAAAAATAAACACCCATGTGGGTGTGCATAATAAGAAAGAAAAAAAAATTGTGTGGAAGTCACTTCTAAATGTTTTGGGCGTGACAACTGATTTGTTCTGAGTCGGCATCAATTTTGTCCCACTTGTTCCATAACATTGGTTAATTTACACTGGACGCGTCGGCAAATGAGAAGCGAGCACGGAATCTGGTGTACACTTCAAAGTAGTTTTTGATTTTCTCGATGCAAATCACAGATTGACACATGTACAAACGAAATGTTTCAAACTGTGACGATTCGATTCGTTGCCACTAGGCAATCAAGATGAACAATCGGGCATGCATTTCAGAACTAAAAGCAGCCAGAAAGAGAGCGTGGGAGAGGAGAAAAAAGGAATAGAAATCACAAAACATGCTAAAATCTAAGAGGTTTGATTAATATGAAATGACCCACAATCATTCGAGTTAGCAACAAGAGATAAGATAGCCTAAATTATACAAGACTGCACATTCAACATTAAACACAGCAGTGATCAGCTAGTGATTCTCCAACTGCTCTGGATCAATAGTTTTACCAGGTCTATGTCATCCTCACAAGAAAAAAATAATAATAATATTAATTCAGCAGTTCCAAAATCATCTGCCAAAGCTCAATATCCTTCCTCCGTGCCCGCCACGCACCAAATCATCAGCAAATTAGTCTCTTCAACTGCATAGAGAAATTGGAAACAGTCGGTATTAGTATTCGTTTTGTGTTAGAAAGTTTCGTCCTACAACTCGGAAAGTTTTGTGCATGATCACAAATTATACAGTTAATCAGTAAGGTCCCCTTTACTGAGTAGTTCACAGCATTCAGTGTTTACACAGTACAGCTAAGAAGTTTTTTAGATTAAAATCCCAGAAGGAATTGAAACCGACAATAAACTCAACCAGCATTTGGAACCATCACCTTGCAATGCAGGCATTTTAATACATGATCACTGAGGTTTGTAATATGCAGTCCATACTGGGTAAGCAAGGTGATGACAACGAAAAAGCAGAAGGCAATCCATTCGGAAGATAAAATCAATCAATCAATAAAAAGCAAAGCGGCCTAATTTCAGTTATTTGGGATGGCAAGTACACATCATTTAAGTTGATTCGAGAAACAGAAAACAAAAAGCAATTCTATAAAGAAGACCATTGGATAGTATTACAGACTACTGCAATGGGTCCAAGGACACTCTTCCCCATTACATAGAAGGTGAAATTCATAAGGAATTTGACCTCAATCACCACTAAACTTATAGGGCATCTGATAATAACTACATCATGCAAGATGTTCGGTCTTTTCGTTTCTCCTTCAAGAAGACCCTCGGAATCACCACTATTCCACGAGTAAAAGGAACATCTTTATCATGCATAGACTTTGCGGAATCACCACCATTCCATATTCTCCTCCTCCTATTTTCCCGAAACAAGCATATCCATAAACCATCAAGACATTGAAGTTGAGTACATAACACCACATCAACCATTATCAACAGAAATACTATAAAATTGCCGTCTCAAGTTTCATGTTTGGTAACTTCTATATTCTATAAAAGTGCCTCCACCAACTCCAAGATTTCCATTTGCTTAATAAGCAATGAAAGCACGCAGGTGCAAGAGAAGAGATAAATATAAACTTCCAAAATCAAAAGTCCGAATCACACAACAGTCAAATGCTTCTCTTGGAACAAAGACAAGTTATGCCTCGAAACCTATAAAATTTAGCTCCTTCAAACAAATTTCGTAACTCGTATTCGAAGCAGAAGACACGCACAAAGAAACCATTTCAAACATCACAAACGAAGCTATACATTTCGCCCAAATCACGCTAACGAAAAAGAACATAACCGAAAAGAAGCTAAATTTATCCGAAATGAAGCCATGAAAATGTCAAAAACCCTACTCAATAGTACAATTCCCACATCAAGAATCATCAAAGTTATCCGAAATGAAACCACTTTTCAAAACATAGATACAATACACATTACCTTTGACCATCAAGGTTGCCCTGCCCACTGCTCCCTCCACTCCCGTACGACCCATCATCCGCCGCAGTCTGCCACACCGACTGCCACGCCTGCGACGGAGGCTGCACGCCGTAAACCCCAGTGGGGTCCACCGCAGGCCTCCCAATCATCATCCCCCCGGGGCCACCAGCCGGCTGACCCATCGGCGGATAGAAATATGGCACACCACTCGCCGTCGCCCCGACCATACCTCCGAGACCCACCGCCTCCTCCTTGATCTCGTCGCGGGGCACAATATCCACCAAGAAATCGAATATGTCGGTGCGGGTAATGGCGGCGGCAATGTCGTTTTTCTGGAGAGTCCGGCGCTTGTTCTCCTCCGCGTGGAGCCAGGAGCGGATGGTGAGCTCGAGGATGAAGAGCTCGCAGGCCTTGGCGAAGAGGACGGGGGCCTCGGCGGAGATCATACGGACGTCCTCGTCGGCCTTCATGATCTTCTTGATGCGGGCAAGGGGGAGCTGGTGGTTCTTGAAGTCGTTGACGCTCTCAATCTCCTGGCGCTGGAAGGTCCAGAACATCTGGAGCTGCTGCTGCTGCTGCTGGAGGAGGTGGTGGAATGGGGGGGCGGGGACGGAGGATTGGGTTGCTGGGTAGGGGGAGGATTGGGCTTGCGGTTGCTGCTGGGTGGGGGCAGCGGCGGCAGCGGTGGTGGCAGTGTTGGGGTTGGGGTCCATTTGGTGTGATGGGAGGAGCCAAATGGTGGGTTTTGAGGGGGTTGGGGGAGGGAAGATGAAGGGTTTGATTTGATCAGAGGGGGTGGATTGAGATTTGATTTGGGGAGCTTTTGTGGTGGAGATTTGAGGATTTCAAGGGTTGGAGATGGATGTGAGGAGAGAGAGAGAGAGAGAGAGAGAGGAGAGAGAAAGGAAGAGAGGCAGGGATGCTCTGTTATTGGTGGGGTTTTCTGTCTTCCAAGAGGCATGTACCACCTCAGATTTTCTTTTAATGGAAAATTACCTTAAATATTTAGAATCCAATAAAGAGGTTTATTTGTCGTTTAATATTATGGTCTAGTGTTATTTATTTTTAAAGTAAATGAGAGCACATCATTACTAGTTTATTGTGAGTCTTAACCTACCCCTCTTCTTAATATAGATAATATCGGTTTTAAAAATAATAAAAAAATAAAATAAAAAGGTTTATTTTAATTTAATTTGTTCAATTTTTTAAGAAATAAAAAGTTCCACTTTATCAATACTAGAAAAATTCACATATACCACAGTTTCAAACAAAAATACTTTGTCGTTGAGTTAATTATTTCTATAAAAGTAGAGAAAAATATAGAAATGAAGTAGTGATATAAGATATGGAGGGAGTTTTTCTGGTAAGTGACAAATTTTAGGTTTGAAACATTCATGTTTAATTTTATCTCTGAACCTTATATTAACTTATTTGTTGTAGCCTATTATATTAACTTATTTGTTGTAGCCTATTTTATTTGACAAAGGGAATAGGGCTGGCGGCAAGGGTAGAGAAATTGTGAGAGATGTGTTTGTAGAATTGTAAGGGAATGTGTGTGTGCTAACCCTGCCTTTATTTATAGTAGCAAAAGGAGAGAATATATTCCTTCATCCCCAAGGAATACGAGTTGTAATATGAAATGATAACTAGAATCAAATCTAATATAAGATTTACACAATTACACTTAAACTAGGAAAGTTTACAACATTATTTTATTTTATATAAATATAGCTAAAGGATGCCTTAGTATGATAGACATGCATAAAATGATTAGTAATCAGTTACTAACTAATTCAAATACTTAAATTTATATTAATGTTAACCTAGACGGAGTTTTTCTTTTTTGTATATAACTTGCCAAAAAGCTACACCTTATGAGTTATACATATTTGGAATGAATATTTTTGTAATACTATTATGTGAATCTAACTCATCACGTCCGTCCACGTACGAGTTCCATGTTCATCGAGATTTTATAGGTCTTATTCAATTCTTGTAAGAAGAGAACACATTATATAGTATTCTTGGCAGAGGCAAATGCACATGGAATCTTTACGAGAGAAAAAGAAAAGATATTCGAGCAAGTCCATCCTTAAAAAACAAAAAAAAATGCTGGTACTCATCCCATTTAATCCCCTTAGTGAACAGTGATAGACCTCATGAACAGTAAATTGGTCAAATGCTTCTTCATCCCTAAAAAATGTGCTAGCACAAAGTCTAAAAATGCACTGGCACAAACAACATCAACTCCTACAAAATACGCTGGCACCCAATCCATTTAAAATATTATTAATTTTTTTATAACTAATAAATTTTATTTTAATTTCGGATAGGATTTTTAACCAATCTCGTCACGCCACGTGTCACTATCTGTTTACAATAATTTAGTCAAGATTTCCGATTAGATTTTTAACCAATCTCGACGCACCACGTGTCACTATCTGTTTACAATAATTTAGCCAATATTTCGATAAGATTTTCAACCAATCATGTAGTGCCACGGGACAGTGCCCAGAACCTCATCCTTTTTTTTTTGTCCATATAAACCCTACAT